GAAGATTATATGAAAAAATGATATAATTATTTCCTGAAATGGCATAAGCCTGAATATTGGTTTATTTTGCGCAGGTTATAATGCACCCTCTAAAACCTCGAATATCTACTGCAAAAGGTGTCATCTACATCTCTGTAATCTGGATCATGGCAACCTGTTTTTCCCTACCACATGCTATCTACCAAAAACTCTTTACCTTTGAATACAGGTAAGGATGTGCTTTGCCTTCCTCCACAGTGTCCCTGGAGGCCAAACTCTCAGTGCTCATACTTTGGCATCTGCTGAAAACCCTGAGCTTATGTCGAGGTCAGCCAAATACAGATCGAGTCCATAATTTTAATCAGATTTCTTTTGCAATTGCTGATATCCCGCCCTTGCTTCTATTTTAAATTATTTTATCTTTATTCTGTCACACTAATCACATGAAATAGGCTAAGAAGTTAGAGGATCTGACCTGGACCCTCCCTCTCTATACACTGACATTTTACACAACGAACCAATCTGACCTGTTTGGGCAAACCAGAAACGGAGAAAAACATGAAACTTAACAGATTTTAATCTACTCTTTAGCCCTGAGAATGTGAAAAAAACCTGCCTCAGCTGCTTGTTCTATAAAATGTTGTCATAAACCTTGATATTTGGAAATTAGTTTTAATGAGGGAAAAGTCCTTAATATGTGCAGAGCCTGTGTTTCTGTTTGCCAAAGGACAGAGAATGAAAACCCGCTTCTATGCAGCTGCAAATTTTGTAATTGATGAAATTCATAAAATTATCATAAGGTCACGAATGCTCATGAGAAATATCACCACATTGCTCACAGGCTGCTCCATGGCTCAAATCCTCAGACAGCAGAGCTCTGCTTAACTGTGACTCATGTGCATAAACCAAGGGTCTGCCTCCAGGCTTTATGGCAGGGACCCTCTCTGTCCTGGTTCTGCTGAGATAGAATCATAGAATTAATTCTCGGTCAGAAAAGCTGCATTTTAAGAAGACTGCAGTACCCAGTTTGGTGAAAACAAAGTTGACGAGATACTTTATTTGATTTTGTGGCCAGCCATGGTATGTGGGTTTCCAGAGTGATCAAAGTTTTTAGCAGTTTAGAGTCAGTCAGGTGCTAAGGCCAGGAGGAGCAAAAGCCAGGGCAGCTGATCCAAGCTGGCTAACAGATGTATTCCATACCATAAATATCATGCTCACTATAAATTGGAGAGTTTGCTGGGGACATTCTTCTTCCTCAATGGTCACCATCCCTGGAGGATCTCACTTGTCACTCTTCTCCCAAGGCCTGCTCTCCCACTTGCTGTGACCATCACGTTTTCGTTGGCTGAGTATAACTCTGTGTATTTTATATTAGTAGTAATATTAGTTCTACTTATTATTTCATTAAATCTATTTTCATTTCAACCCACGGGTCTCCTTTCCTTTTCCCAATTCCCTTGTCCCAGGCGTGGGGAGGGGTCACTTGGGTGATAGAACAACTGACTAAACCAAGACACTCTCCCACCTACTCCTTGTTTCTGACGTACCCCTCCCGCGGTGCCCGGCCGTATGCACTCTCACCCCCTGTCTGGTATCTCCACTTGCAGTGAGGAGGTTACCCGCTGCCTGTGTCTGCCGGATTTCCCCGAGCCTGCTGACCTCTTTTGGAAGTACCTCGACTTAACAACCTTCATTTTGCTCTATGTCCTGCCACTTCTGATCATCTCTGCTGCCTACATTACAGTGGCCAAGAAACTCTGGCTGCGCAATGTCATCGGGGACGTCACCACTGAGCAGTACTTGTCCCTTCGCAAGAAAAATAGGAAGACCATAAAGATGCTGATGCTTGTTGTCATCCTCTTCGCAGTCTGCTGGTTCCCCTTGAATTGCTACGTAGTCCTCCTCTCCAGCCAGACCATCCACACCAACAATGCCCTGTACTTTGCTTTTCACTGGTTTGCAATGAGCAGCACCTGCTACAACCCCTTCATCTACTGCTGGCTCAACGACAGCTTCCGATCAGAACTGAAGGCTTTGCTCAACATGTGCAGAAAACCTCCTGGACCTGCAGAACAGAGACTTCCTTTCACAGTGCCATCCAACCAACTGGCTTGGCCAGAAAATGGCAACTTCAAGAGGTTACAGGCCTCCCATGTCCTTCCAACAGCCTCCAACATCCAGTCAGGAAAGACAGACATCTCTGCAGTTGAGCCAATAGTAGCTGTGAGCTAAACAGTGGCTCTGGGAAACCTATGAGGACCACACATAGATTTAGCTAGACCTAAAATAGTGGGAAGATGTGGAGGCCTGGCCTACTTAGGGACTGCACAACCACACGTGATGACAGCAGGAAGGAGGTTCTGCAGGAGGTAGTATAGAAGAGCTACATGCTTGATGCGGGCTGATGACAATGGTGTTGAGCCCCTAAAGGGGGGGAAAGCAAAATCTTTTCAGCAAGCAACTCCCTTTGTCAAGTTGACTTTGGATCAACTTGCAGGACGAGACTCTCTGCATGCGTGTTGCTGTTATCTGTGTGACTAAGCCTTTTTACCACTGGGGCTCTGTGTGTGTTTTGCTGGTACTTAAACACTAAAGCAACAGTCTAATCACATCAGGCTTCCCTTCCTCTTTTCTAAGTCTCTTAATAGCAACATGGAAATGGTGGAGATAAGGACCTTTAGGTTGCTAGCTTAGGTCCATTGCAACTGGGTAGGGAGACATCCCCTCTGAACTGGGGTCTGAAAAGTCAAGATCTGTTCAGAATGAATGAACATATATATTACACAAATCCATTGTTTTGTGGAAACACCCTCAGAGAAGTGGAGGGTAAGATGGACATTGGTAAACAGAGGAGTCTCTTACATTGCAGGCACTTTTTCTGAGGTGTAGTTGAAAGACAATGAATGTCTATTCTTTGCATAAATAGATGGTGAACACCAACCTGTTAGCCCAGCATCTGCCACCAGTGCTAAATCACACAGAATTTTTCTTTCCTAAGATAAAGTCATGAATATTCAGAAAGCTTTTCTTCAAATAGAAAACTAAACCCCCAAAAAGCTGCTTTGGAGAATGTTGACATACCAGCCACGTTTAGAGATTGGGTAATTAAACACTGCTCTGAGTTTGGACTCTGGACATTTCGATCAGCATATCTTTGCATTATTGTCAAGTGGCAGCTAAAGGATCCCACAGTATGAGTTTTTAACTTGCCTTTGAATGTTGCTCTCTTACCCTGTAAAACAACTGGGTACTTCTCAGAACAGATATTTGGGACATTTCATCCCAACTAAGATGTTAACTCTCAGGAATCAGTTCATAAATGAACTGCTTTGAGAGAACAGATGATGCCTCTGATAGCAAGTAATGAAAGTGTGACCCTCATCTGCAAGATATCCTCAGGTGATTGCACAGTTTGGGTGCATTTAAAGATGAGTGAGCTGTGTCCTCCTCGGGGTGGCTAAGAAAATTCATGTGACTGCAGCTGTCTGGGGTAGTTTGAGGAACTTAATGTTCTTAGCAGAAGAAAAATCTGATTTCAAATAATGAAAAAAATGATCATTCCAAAAACTGTATCTCATATTGCACAGGGAAGCAATAACTCTCCCTGTGCTGTGGAGATTAGTTTGAATGTCACACCAGGGTGCCTAATTCCACATTCAACGTGCAGCAGCCAGCAGTGAATTGAGAAAAATCTTCTTTTTATAGACGACTATAAAAGGGGAAAAAAAAAAAAAAAGCTAAACTGTTTTTTCAATGTCTTGTAATAAACTTACATTTCTGAAATAATTTTAAGCCTTGTGCAGGTCTTTCACACCAAAGTATTTTAAGAGACTGAAATGCCACTAAAAAAAGAAAGCTCCCACTCCTTGCAGCTAGCCTGTCCTTTCACAAGGTGTTATGAGTCTCTCACTTTGAACCCAGTGCTTTTCTACTACCTTTTACCAAGCCCCTGTGAGTCAGAGTAATTTGTATGGCTGATATGCAGAATTAAACCTTTCCTCCTGCCTGCTTTGACCCCTTAAGCCAAGTCCCATTTTCTCTCTTAACATTTGCAACATGTCAGCCCTGAAGTGGCCAGACAGTTGGACTAGATGATTGTTGTAGGTACCTTCTAGCTGAAATTATTCTATTCTATTCTATTCTATTCTATTCTATTCTATTCTATTCTATTCTATTCTATTCTATTCTATTCTATTCTATTCTATTCTATTCTATTCTTCTACTTTCTATTCTATTCTATTCTATTCTATTCTATTCTATTCTATTCTATTCTATTCTATTCTATTCTATTCTATTCTATTCTATTCTATTCTATTCTACTCTACTCTACTCTACTGGAGATCCCAAACATGCAGAACCTGTGGACTACACTCCCCAGTCCTTTGACAGAAGATCCCAACTCTCTACCAACAAATAAACCTTTGGGAATCCTGCGTATCTAAAAACCTTCTCATGAGCATTTCTTAATTAGCTATTTTTCATCTTCTTCATATTTGATTTAGGATTCTGAAGACACATTTTGCATTCACTGGTGCTACTGGAATCAGTGGGGGTTCTGCTCTGAGCACACTGTGTTGGGTTTGTGTGTGGAGGGGCTGGTTTTGGTAGTGGGGG